ATTTAGGGTTTGGGGCTTAAAGCTTTAGGCATTAACGATTTGGGACGCTTGTCGGTTTTGGGGGTTAGGGTTAAGGGCTGTAGCCGCACTGCAGTTCTTGTTTGAGCTGTAGTGTTTAGGGCTTTGAAAGGCTTTGTTGGTTTCGGGTCTTAGGGTTCGGGTTTCCGGTGTAACACAGTAAGGCAGAAGCGAGCTGTGAAGTGTGGAGTTCGGCATGTTCGGGTTTTGGGTCCTGATCACACCGGGTTCTCGGGCACCAAGCAAAGCCCCTAAACCCTAAACCCNNCCCTAAACCCTAAGCCCCAAAGCCCAATGCCCCAAGCAAAATTGGATCTCCTGACTTCCTCCACCTATCTCGGACCTGAACCTTATACCCCTAAATCCTAACCCCCAGCCCCTAAACCCTGGACCACGCTTATAGTTCCTTGGGCTCAAGAACCCTGAAGGTTGTAGTGGAAGCAAAAGGCCTAGAGATGTAGTGTCGTGCACGGCTAAGAATTCGCGTCAATCCCCCTCCAGCTTAGAGTTTCAGGGTTTACGATTCAAGGCTTAGGGTTTCTAGGGCTACAGGGTTTAGGGTTTACGGGGGGTTAGGGCTGAGTGTTTAGGTTAGGGGGGTTTATGGCTTTGGGTTCATGGGTTTGGGGCTTTTGAGGCTTAGGGTCGGGAATGGGTTCCTACCCTCTAACAGCCTACAGAACAAGGGCCTCTTCCCGGATAATGACGACGACGATGATGAGTGCGTCCGGCCCACGGACAGTTTCGGAGGCCAAAATCGGGTTCAGCATTCGGAGTGTTTTGGGGTGTAGGGTTTAGGGCTTACAGGGTCTAGGGGTTAGGACTCTGGTTTAGGCTAGGATGTAGTGGTTCGGTTCAGCACGGGTGCAAGGTGCAGAGACGTTTTGATCGGAGGGGACTTGATCGAAAGTCTACACACTGCTATTAGGCTCCAAGTACTGAGGGGCTGCCTCCTCTCAAGACCGTAGACTTCGCGGGTGTTCCAATTTCGGCTTTCTCGGTCGTATAGCGTATGGCTTTGCCAGACATGTTGCATTGATTTTGTGTGCCTGCCAAATTTTAGTTTAAGCTTCATGAACTGGGTGCAGCGCAAGTGTTTCAACGGCACCAACCACAAATCAGGGACGCTGAACCTTCAAATCCAAATCCAACGATTTGGCACGGGTCCCAAGATAACTTGCAACAGTATCCGCTTGGAATAGTACAGAGCACTTGAAAAACCTATGTTAATCATTGTTCTTATAACTCCCTTAATTTCTTCGTAGAACCCAGTGCTCTTGAAGCATCGTAAGGTCTTCGGAGACGACGACTTCCCTGCCTAGACGCCTGGTTCTTTCTTCGACCATCCCTCCCTGCAGACATGCAGTGACAAAAAAGTACGAAGACGGCTGCAATCTCATCGCGATATAGCACTATGCAATATGCTTTCGTATGGTGTAGTATACTGTCGCAGTCATCATTTGCTAGAATGCCTAGCTCACAGCATGGTAGCAACTCGTGGTGGAGGAGAGCATGACTTTCATTGGCGTGGGGTAAGGATTACTGTTTGCGTGTCGTTTTTTGGGGAGCTTCCTTTATTTGGGGTCTGAAATCAGAGCCATGGGGGTTTTGCTGTGGCATGACCGAGGCTTGTCTCAAGCTGTATGACAGTCCTATATCATGGTGGGAGGCAGAACGAAAGTTTCGCGCAGCCCCTTAACTGGCCGGAGCAATCATTGCATACAGCAGCCCCCCACGACATGAACCCCCTTACTTAGCACCTGCCCCGCACCTCCAAACTGAACCACCAAGCCCAAAGCCCAAAGCCCTACCTTTCCGAAACCCCCAGAGTGGGGTGAGTCGGGATGGCCGAAGAGACCGAGACGGCAGAGGCGTCCTCAAGGGCTTCAGTATAGTGCCAGTTATGCTCAGGAAAGCTAGCCCAAATCGCCTTGCTGCAAAATGGAACTACTGTACCCTAGATCACGAAGTGCGATATATGAGGTGCCTACGACAATATTATGCCTACGAGAAAAGCAGCACCTCGGCAGGTCCTGACAAGTCTGCAGGACCTTGACAGCTTCTCTTCTACAACTAGGAACCTGAGGCAGAAGGGATCTAGCTCCCATATCTGCCGCAGGCCACAGAGCCCTGGATATTGCAGACCCAGGCACCCTCTTGTTGTGCAGGGTGACCTTGAGATCAGAAGGGGGGTGGAGTTCAGAGCATGGGGTCTAGAAGCGTCCGATATATAGGGTGATGTAGGCTGTATATTGCGGCTTTGCTGCAGGGGATTGGAATAAGGCTCTTCTTTAGGTTGTTACATACGGGTTTGCCTGCTTTTTGCCTCCCAGGATTTAAAGTTTACGGTTTTAGACTTTGGGCTACCAGGTCAAGCCTTAGTGTACTGCTCAAAGACGGCGATAGATTGCTCGATGGTGCTACTACGACCATCACGACCGCGATCACTGCTAGTATACTGCTGCACGAGAAGACAACAATGAACAGCCATTCGGGGCTCGAGAATCATGTGTATTCTCGCACTGCCGTTCGTCCTACAGCTATACTCTGTCGAGCATTTCATCCTTTCGAGATTCGGAAGCCAATCTCATGTTGAGGCAGATGTCATCTGGATCCAATTACAAAGCGGAATGGGCGACTTGTTGGGGTTAATTCAGGGTTCCTGAGGGTTCAAGGCTTCGGGAACCTCTTTTCACCATGTTGTGTCAGTAGGAGTCCCAATCGCGCCCTGAAGTTAGATTTCGCGACTGAGGGTTTAGGGTTTCAGGTACCCTGAACCCCTATACAGCTCTGAAGCACTCAACCCAAGAACCCACTTCCTCATTTCCTGGCGCAGGCTACTCTCGGCGCCCGAATTGCGCGCCCGCGCATGCTGCCGGAGAGGCTGAGGTGAGAGTCTAAGCTGCCGCAAGACCTCGGCTGCAATCGTGAATCCGGTGAAACCTTCGTTTCAAGTTGGGCCCACGACGCCCTTTCCGGTGAAATCATGGTTTCAAGTTGGCCTTGAAAAGGCCGGTCTGGTGCAATCTTCGTGTCAAGGGGGCCGTTTGATGGTCGTGTTTGGGGTTCCGGGTGCGTCTGCATGGAAGGGACCTCCGCGGAAGTTTCTCTCACAGCTCAGCTAAGTTTGTGCTTCATGATACTTGGAGGGCTAAGGCCAGCGTGCAGCCTGAAATCCCTCCGCCAGCGTGGAGGGCGATCCCCAGCCTCTTGCTTGTTTCCAGAAGCGTATGACCCACGTGACGTAGGAGATATCGAACTTGTTGCGTGAAGTATCCTTCGCATATCGCTCTCCTAGAAACCCTTTACGGACTAGGGCGTGTAAGCAAAGGCAAGAGGGATGCAAAATCGAGTAAGAACCGATTGGTTGTCACCGCAGATCCGAACGCTTTCTTATCCTCACAATTTCCCGAATCATGTCTACTCCAAGTGTAGACACAACCTCACCAGCACCAGAAGTAGATTGAACGGCCACAGAACGCTACAATCCGCTGCAACCCAATGCTTTCATGTCACAAATCTCACTCTTGAGGATGTTGAGGCCCAAGGAAACTGAACCATCCCCATGCCCTGAACCTTGCCTTGAACCCTCTCTAAACTCTACAAGCTATAAACCACCAACAAAATCCGAAAGAGGAAGCCACCCTTCCGCTTCTTGTTCGACGCCGCAGCAGAGGTCAGAGCTTTTTTTTTCCGTGTGACTGTTTGCTTTTAAATGTTCTTGGGGTCCAGGGTTTAGGCTGTTAGTTTCGGGGGACCTTTGGCGAGCTTGGGGTATCTGATTCCCATGTATGTATCGGTGCATTGCCTTCTTCTGAGCCTTCTTCTCCGGTGGTGGCCTTGGGTCCACGGCCTATGTATTCACATGCTTACCAGGATCCTTCCCCCCTCACCACCTCTAAGCCCGAAACCCTAAACCCTAAACCCCAAACCCTAACAGGCCAGCCCGTCTCCACGAGGTCGCCCGGCAAACGAGCTTTGGCGCTGAGCTCTTTGGGGGCGATCCTGGGCCGAAGCCGGAGCCCCCCCAGAAGCGGGAGGACAAGGCATCCCAAAAAGGGGTTTAGGGTTTAGGGGTTCAGGGGTTTAGGGTTCAGGGTATCAATAATTACCAACACTATTTATGGGGGTTCCTTACAATAGTTATACCCCCCCAAAGCCCTATCCTAACTACTACGGCCCCTATATTTTGTTCGGTTCTTCGTCGTAGTTCAGGCTTGGAGGAAAGGGGTTGTTAGTCGCATCTTGAATCATTTTCAGGCCCAAAGTGAAGGGAGCTATAGGGTTGAGGGCGGCTCTTTTAGGGAACTGTCTTATTGAGGCTAGGTTTGGGGGGTTTGGGGCAACTCCGGCGAGGTCTGACGGGACCCAAGGTCAGCTGACAGTGCCTGAGGTGTCCCGTTGCTCGTAGTCGAACTTCAAGCCCTGAACCTGTCCGCGTTCTGTTGAGCCAATAAGGCTCCCCAAGGGATTGGTGCTGTGGATTTGCTTCAAAGTTATAAGTTATGCTGGTTTTATTCGCTTTACGAGCTCAGCATACTGGTCGCAATGGGACAGAGGCTGTCGCGCCAAGAATCAAGCCCTTTAAGCTTGTGCTTGAGTGGGCAGGTAGAGTTTCTTCAACGCGACTTGCCTGCATCAGCCACATGTGTGTCTAGGCTACCAGCAGTGCAACGCCTCAGCGTTGTAAATCGTTCATGCCGTATAAACCCTGAGCCCCAAATCCATAATCAGCCCTAATGACCCTAATGCTTTGCTGCCGAAGCGTCTTCAACAGCTCAGCCCTGTGCATCTGAGATGAGGTTCCCCTTGTCTAGCTTATCTAGCTGAATCCAGCTATCTAGCTCTATCTGTCGATCGGTCTATGTGTCCATCTGTCTATCTGTCGACGATATGTTGATCTACTTGTATCTATATCCCTACCCCTTGAACCCCTCTAGAACCTGTTTACCATCCTGTACAGAACCCTCATTGTAGCAACCTAATCAGTTTCCTGCTGCTACGAGGTTGGATAACAGTGGTGGCAGGAGCATTGCCTCAACAGGCAGAAGCCCTTTCGCAGGCAGAAGCCCCGGGATCTCAGGTCAGGGATTTGGGTTCCTTTAAGGGTCCCTTCCGGGTTTAGGGTACCATTTTCAGCGTCCGTTTCGGGTTTTGTGGCTTGCTTGGCGTTTTTGATCTGGTCATAGCCGCAGACTCTTCATCCCGATGCCGAGATGCCAACGTCAAGGGGCGTTGTCTACGCTGGGAAGCCCTTGGGCTTTGCTAAGTCAGCCTTCACCGGCTGCCCGCAGGATTTGGTACACCCCACCAGCCGTTGCCAGAGACGGCTGGGCATGTATGTGGGCCTAGTTCACGTGCCAAGCATCCATAACAAGCTCCTGGAAGATAGACATATAGTACTATTATGACTATTATGATTGATGGCGACACAGGAACCGAATGTCGACTCCATTCATGCTTCAGAAGGTAGCTTCCTGTCCTCAGAATCCCTGAGAATGAGCCTTCAAAGTCTATCCATACCAGGAGCAGATATTGGCTTATAGTCTCCTTCAACTACAAGCCTTAAATCCCCGAAGCCCCAAGGTATCATTTCTGAACTCCTCGCACTGGCTCTAAGGTTTCTGCAGTGGACGTGGTCTGCGGTGCCAACCCGGACAAGACAAACTTCGTCTTGCTTCTTGGCCTTGCGGTTGATGGTTCATGGTTTTAGGTTGAGGGTTGGCATTGGCAAAGAAACCCTAAGCCCAAAATCTTGACCCACTGAAAGCCCGATAATTCTAACGCCTTCAGTCAAGCAAATGCCGAATGTCCACTTCCCCCAATAGAAAACTTTTCAGTCGCAATACTAGTCTGGAAAGGGATTTGCGGTGGCACAAAGTGTTCTAGTTATTCTAGTTCGGCCCTTGGACACTTAGTGAATGTGAAAGGAGGTTCTGATGCGTTTCTTGCGTTGAGCTGACCATTAAGGCTTAGAGAGGTTTCGTCCTTCTAGCTTTCCTTGCAGGCGAGTGTCAATGGCTGTCTAAGATTCTAGGATTTCTTAGGACCTTAAACCGTAAGCACACGGACCCTAACCGTTTTGAACACTAAGCACCCCAAAACCCAAGCAGCCCTAACGCCGTTTTTCCACGGGACTCTTGCCCAAGACTCAGGCAATGCTTGGCAACAGCAGCTTTCCCGGAGGCTCATTCCTTTCCTCTGCTATTCAATGCTACTGTTTGGGTTTGGGGGTTTCTGGGTTTAGGCTCAGTTTTACGGGTTTGGGGTTACTGGTTTAGCGGTCAGTTCTCAGTAGCTTCCTGTTTCCGTACTGCTGACG